TCTTCCTACGTCGCAGACCTGTTTCCCTCCATTCCCATAGCATTTTAGGATTGTAGATACCTTAATCTAATCGTCATAAACATTTCCCACACTCCGGACATCTCACCTTTACTACTTCCTTCACCACTTCCTATGTCGCAGACCTCTTTCCATCCCTTCCCAAAGGATTTTAGGATTGTAGATTCCTTAATCTAATCGTCATAAACGGTTTCCACACTCCAGACTGCTCACCTTTACTACTTCCTTGACCACTTCCTATGTCGCAGACCTCTTTCCCTCCCTTCCCATAGCATTTTAGGATTGTAGATAACTTGATCTAATCGTCATTAACAGTTTTCACACTCCGGACTGCTCACCTTTACTACTTCCTTCACCACTCCCTACGTCGCAGACCTCTTTCCATCCATTCCCATAGCATTTTCGGATTGTAGATACCTTAATCTAATCGCCATAAACGTTCCACACTCCAGACTGCTCGCCTTTACTACTTCCTTTACAACTTCCTATGTCGCAGACCTCTTTCCCTCCCTTCCCATAGGATTTTAGGATTGTAGATAACTTGATCTAATCGTCATAAACAGTTTTCACACTCCAGACTGCTCGCCTTTACTACTTCTTCACCACTTCCTACGTCGCGGACCTCTTTCCATCCCTTCCCATAGGATTTTAGGATTGCAGATTCCTTAATATAATCGTCTTAAACAGTTTCCACACTCCAGACTGCTCGCCTTTACTACTTCCTTCACCACTTCTTACGTCGCGGACCTGATTCCTTCCTCCCTTCCCATAGCATTTTAGGATTGTAGATAACTTGATCTAATCGTTATTAACAGTTCCTACAATCCGGACTGCTCACCTTTACTACTTCCTTCACCACTCCCTACGTCGCAGGCCTGTTTTCCTCTATTCCCATAGCATTTTAGGATTGTAGATACCTTAATCTAATCGTCATAAACATTTCCCACACTCGGGACTTCTCACCTTTAGTACTTCCTTCACCACTTCCTATGTCGCAGACCTCTTTCCATCCCTTCCCATAGGATTTTAGGATTGTAGATTCCTTAATCTAATCGTCATAAACGGTTGACACACTCCAGACTGCTCGCCTTTACTACTTCTTCACCACTTCCTACGTCGCGGACCTCTTTCCATCCCTTCCCATAGGATTTTAGGATTGCAGATTCCTTAATATAATCGTCTTAAACAGTTTTCACACTCCAGACTGCTCGCCTTTACTACTTCCTACGTCGCGGACCAACGCGATATTGTGGATATTTGATATTGTGGATAGATAGCTTACAAGTCTTTTGTTTATATTTTCCTTGTTATTTAATTCAGCCAACATGGTTACCTAGCAACCCATAAGACTAATGTTAAAAAAATGTGATTTTTAGTTTCATTTTTCTACGTAATTAGATTTTTGTTGGCAGTTCTAATTGCAGTAAACTCGTTTTTAGGCCAGTAATAAACTATATACAACATTTGAAGAAAATCGTCGGAGCCGTTTTCGAGATCTTGGTGCAAGCATACATACAAGCAAACCTTGCTCGTATTAGAGTATAGGATAATGCCTGAAAGTTTCATTACAATCTGTCGAGCGGTTTCGGAGTCCATAAAGACACAAACAACACAAACAAACATACATACATTGGATTATATATATATATAGATAACATAGAAAAAAAAAATTTTATTATACCTTACCACAGCTGATTTGGGTGATATCTGGTTTCCATGGAAACACAACCTTTGTTATTCCCAAAAATAAATTATTAAAAATAAGCAAAGCAAGAAGCAAAATACTTATAAACATTATAAAATAAAAAAAGATTTAAAAAAAACAAGCTACTCGTAAGACGGATTTTGGGCCTGCGGCGGCCAGACGAGTAACGCTCGTAAGTCGGCGCCAATGGGTTAAATGTCTACTTGCAGTATCCAAAGCCAATGGTTCATAATCCTAATTGTTTTATCCATTTTGTAGCAAATACGAAATAATGCTCAACAGTTTCAATCTGATTTTACTCCAGTTTTCACTTTTGTCATCTATTTTGTTGTATGTGGTGGTTTAGATGATTTATTGATAATCATGTTATGACTTTTGTTCACCTTTTTATTGTTATCTTGCAAATACTGTCATGGCAACCAATTAACCCCATGTTAAATGTCTATAAGTTTAAATTTGTGTAGGGAAAATACCGGTTGTCCGATTTGTACCATTGCAGATTTATCTTCCCATAGTTGGTAACTATGTCTGTGCTATTTCATGCTGATCGCTTCAGCTGTTCAGACTTCAGGAGGAGTATTTGTAAGACAAAAGCAGGAATGTAATATAAGAGCTTTGCTCACCCCGCTCCAATTAGTTGTTTTGTTGATAAGTTTATTGACGTCTTTTTTGAAACTATTATAATACGATTGTTAAGGATGTGATGGGCCCTGACATTTTGAGAAATCTGAAGGAAAAATAGATTTATGATCTTTGGGTGAATTACATTCAATTAAGTATTTTCTGGGAATGGGATTTGTTGCAAATGTCAGCCACTATGCAAACGTTTGGTGTAGAGGATGATCACGATTTTGCAGTGATTGTGGAAGAAGATGATGTCTCCGTGATTGCAGAAGACATTCACAAATATGCCTCGTTTAAGGAAGTTATCTAAAAATGTTTTCGCTACTGCGGGAGAAGATTGTGATATCCCTGCGATCGAGAGCAATATAATAAGATGTAGTGATCACGGATTACAGTCATGATGTTATAGAACATCACAATAAAGAGAGAATATTTTTTGTTTGACATTATTGCCATTATTTGCAAAAATGACATTTTATCCAAGATTTTATTAACAAACTAAAGTTTTCCTTATTGTACTGCAAGAAAAATCCTATCCCAGAAAGTACTATCCCATCTAACCCTAGTATTTACGTTCGTAGTTATGTAATTGTTTCATCATAAATTGTCTTTGTTATGTTGGAGATGTGTGTGTCAAATTCCTAAGGCGTTAGGGTACGTTTACTTGATGATTTATCATGGGGAGGGGGAGCGCAAATAATTCTTGAGCCCATAGGGCATCGCATACAAATCACGGGCCTGCTTGCTGTATTGAAGACTGTCAAACAGTGACAATTTGAGTGTTTTTCAGTTTGTTTGGAATGTTCAAGGGTAAATAATAACCAGGAAGATTAAATAGCTAACATATCTATTTGTCTGTATAACATGATAAAATAACAAATAATAACTATCTATAGCAAACAGTATAAATATAAATAAATCAGCCTTATTTTTATAGCTTCATAAGCTAAAACCTTGTATAGCCCACAACAATCTTAGCGAACATATTAGTTAAACAGAAAATTGTCAAGTCTTCATATGTTAATATTTAAAAGAGGATTTTTTTCACATTACAGTAAAGTTGTTGAGGTAGTGTTGAAACAATAACACATAAAAGTAAAATGGTACAGGCAATGTTGAAACAAGATAGCAATTAAATTATGAAGGTCCTATCAAATGATGTTTATTTTCAGATTATCTTATAGATGATTCTTGTAATAATATTTTAAATAGGGTATACATTAAATTTGTGTTATAGTATTAAAACTTTTAGCGAAAATAAATAACAGTAGGCCTAAATTGATCCCTGATATTTTATTTATTGTTTATTGACTATACGTCAAACGAGAGTGTGTTACACAACGTCCAGTGATATATGTCACAGTGTCATGACGTCCAAAATATAATTTTTGAGCTGTCTCACGACGTCCAATACAGTTGAGTCCCGCAAACTCTGTGTAATGTGGACTGGAAGGGTGCCGAGTTTGTGAAACGCTGGGTTATCGGGAACTAGGGTTAAAAATAAGAACAATAAAATTGTAGCTTTTTAACTGCCTTTTATACTTATATTACAAGTCAGTATTAAGTCATCAGATATGGTAAAACAAATCCTTGGTATGAGTTGCGAATGATTTGACTTGAGCTGGCTTTGTCCACCTTTAACTCAGACTAAATAAACGGTATCAGCATTCTGACACATACTTTCTCCCATAAGTTTGTCAACAACCTTTACTGTATCATGTGTAAGCGGTGAAAGTAAATATACGGAAATGTAATTTGTACGATTTTGTTCAGAATTTAAAGGACTACATACTAATATTTTTCAAAATCGTTCGGGCCATTTTTGTGAAAATCTGATTTTTACGTTATTTTATGGGGAAATAACATAATTTACAATAACTTTTGAACCATAGTATTTACAGAAATGGGATTTGTACCATTTTGTTCAGAATATAAAGGACTATTACATACAAATTGTTTATCAAAACCGTTCGGGCCGTTTTTGGGAAAATCCTATTTTTCTGTTATTTTATGGGGTTTTATGGGAAAATTCCCATTAAAAATTTAAATTTTTTTTAAATGAAAAAGCTATCAAAACTTTAAGGACCATAACATACTATGTTATAATAAAACCGGATTTTTTTCTAAAATCCTATTTTTCGTTATTTTATTGGGGTTTTATGGGGAAATAACATAATTTACCATAACTTTTGAACCGTAATTTTTACAGAAATGGGATTTGTACCATTTTGTTCAGAATTTAAAGGGCTACACCATACTAAATTTTTATCAAAATCTTTCGGGCCATTTTCGAGAAAATCCGATTTTTCAGGTTTTTTATGGGTTTTTATGGGAAAATCCCCATTAAAAATCAAAATTTCAAAAAAATGAAAAAAACGCCTGGAGATACCATGGATTAGAACCTACATACCAAATTTCATCGAAATCGGACCACAGGTGTACTCCCTAGCTCTGTACACATCCAGACACACACACACACACACACACACACACACACACACACACACACACACACACACACACACACACACACACAGACATCACTTCGAAAACCACTTTTTTGGGTCCAGGGGGACCCAAAACGAATATATCCACTCAAAACTCAAACTCGAAAATTTTGACGAAAACAATACTTTCTCCATATACTATGGTATAGGGGGAGAAAGTAAAAATCACTAATTGGTGATGGCCGAGTTATCCAGACGTAGACGTAGGCCGGGTTATCGAGTACCGAGTTTGCAGGACTCTAATGTATAAACTATTCGACTATTGCACAACGTCCAAATCTCATCATGTCCAAAAGTACAGTAACTGCGAGAAACATAGTCTTTTTACAAGCTTTGGATGTCATGGGATTAGTCATCATTCAATAGCATACTTTATACTCTTAAAAGCTTAGCAGTAGCACCACGTCCAAAGCCGCTGCCAGTTGCACACTGTCGCACGACGTCCAGAGCTCCTGCATACGGAGCTAGGTTAGGTTAGGGTAGTATGCAGTCGGTATAACAGTATTCACAGTGTGCAGGCCCAGGCGCTCAGTACGTCTTGGAACAGTGCTGAGCTATTGGATGTCGTGGAACTTTCAGCGGCTTTGGAGGTGGTGCAACTGCTACTTTTTTAAGAGTGTAAAAAGCGCATTTTCACGAAGACCAATTTCATCCAGAGCTTGTAGAAAGACTATGTTTATTGCAGTTACTGTATTTTGGACATGATGAGATTTGGACGTTGTGAAACAGTCACAGTTCAAGATTTATATTTTGGTTGGACGTTGTGACGCTTGGATGTCGTGCAATGCATCCTGTCAAACCAATTTTTGTAAAATAACTCCTCACATAATTACTTTAGGTACTTTTTAGGGCACTTTAGGTAGCCTACACATAATATTTCTAACACATTTCATAATAATAAATTTCTAATTTGGCCGATTATTCATGTTGTTTAAATTGCTGGGAATCGCTGGTTGTTCCCAGTTTGGGTGATTTCTTTGATCTATTTCTGGGGATTGCTAGCAATCCCCACCACCTTCTGGTAGTGTTCTGGCATAGAAAGGGAGTCTACAAAGAATTGGCCCAGGTCATACTTAGAGATGACTCTGTGACCTGTAGACGCACCATGCTTGGTTATGTAGCCAGTCGGTGGTTGATCAGCTATGTGGGGAGGGTTTACAGCAATCCATTGAAGATCACACTCCTTCAGTGTGTTGAACATTCTCTGGTGATCTGCGTTGATCTCATGAAACATGGCGGGAACCTTTTCTGGTTCGTAGAATAAGAATGCTGGAAAAATATAAATTAACATTGAATCGTGTTAGAATAATTAACCCTAGTATTTATGTTGTGTATTGAGAGCCCAAAGTACATCGCTCGAGAACTGTAGATGGCTTCATAAAATGCTTTTTAGCTGAGTGTGGCCATACATTTTGAGAGCGACAATGACATGGCCGACACAACATTTTTTCTACCACCACAATTAGCTTATAAGTAATTTAAAAATTTAGTTTTATATATAAAATGTCATTTAAGTTATGTTTCCTTTTTCTGTTGGAATGAATGTAACCTAGTTTGTTACTATTAGACATGGAAACTATGTTATATTTAATTTCATTCATTCAATCATTTTTTTAGCATTAAGTTTCTTAAAATGTTAACTTTTGTTCATACATCTTTATTCACTATTCAGAAAGGCTGGCCTAGTATTTATTTTCCCAATTTATACAATTTCATTAATCTGTTCAACTAATCATTAATAATATTCATTCCATAGCGTTTATATATTTCTTTTACAAAGCCCACAACTTAGTTATTTATTAAATATGTAAGAGAATTGCAATACATTAAAATTTCTTATAATATAATTTCAAAATTAGAGTCGGGACCACGTAAGTTTGCAGTTGGTGGCAGCCAATCACAAGACAAGGCTAGTGCGACGTTGCCACATCACCCGTTGACAACCCTAATTAAAATATACTAAGCAATATTTTCAACTCAGCTGGTATTAATAGATTTGGCAACACCGAACGGTTCTCATTGGTTCATTCAAAACCATATAGTAAATAGGCTCCTCCCTCAACTGCAAACTTACGTGGTCCCGACTCTAGTCCTTAAGGAATAAAAGTTCAAGAAGCAGTGAAACATTGATCCATGTGTTCAACAATAGACCTATATAAACATTGAGATTCAGAAGAGAAGGGAAGCCATAGTTAAAAGTTGAAACTGTTAAAAGGAGTCCAGTTAAAATAATTAATTTCATCAAGAAAAACCAGTTTATATTCAAGTTATATTACAGTCAACCTCAAGAGGACTAACTCCAACATTATTTTTCAAAATTAAGTATAAACATTTTCTTTTAAACTCATTAAAATTCAGTGCACATTGGACTTGCCTTTCGGACAACCTGAAAATTTAGTTTTCATTGTTGGGATTTTGTAAGTTTAACACATTCATTATTTGGACACTATTTAATTTATTAATTCTTAGCATTCAAGCCAGCAAGACACCCTACCTGAGATAAAGCACATCTAAATTATACTATTGTAAATTTGAACCTTTAATTAAAACTTATCTTCTATTTTATTTTAATTTCAGCCCACACTCCATTGTCAGTCCTTTCATTATAACGTAACTTAGCCTTTTAAATTTTGTTGCATGTTGGTTCATTTGTTTCAATAAAATACCTTTTGTAATTCGTATATCTTTGTTATTAACTTTAAACATTTATAGAATAGGCCTAGCCTAAAATGAATTTTGTGAGGTGAGTTTACAACTATCTTTAAAATACAATTTGTGAAAATCAAATAATTAACTATTGACTACTGGAATACCTAATAAAAGAGATTCAAACTTAAGACTCGTGGTTAGGCGTTCAGCTCGTGTACGCGAAAAACATAAAGTTTTAATTCCCTGAGGAAGTGGGACGTTGTTTTTGGTCCCACGAAACGAAATGTGTCTCTTCGTTGTATTGCATTTTGACGAGTCCTGGATTAACAAATTAAGGTGAGTGAAGCCCACAAGCTGATCAACACAGTATAATAAACCTTGCCTAAAAACATGTCTTTCAAAAATAGGATCTATGATTAAGTTACTGTCAGATAAAAATAAAATCGCTAGATGCAGACAATATTTAAACATTACCATTGACAAGAGAAGCTATTGAATGCTTGCAAGTGATTGACAGGGACATTAGTAATCAATTTAATTTCTATATTTTATCGATAGTTTCAACATGGGTTTTAATGAAAAACAACACTAAACCTTAAAATAATGAGAAAGCTGGTCTATCAACATTTGCTTCAGCTGTTGATTGTGGTTCCTCATCACAAGCCCTTCCTTGGTTGGATTACAAAGATTTTTCAAAGGTTTGTTAAAATAACGAAGAGGAAATTACCTGATGAAAAAGATATGCCTAGACTACATAATAGTTGTAACGAAAAAATCTCCATATAACATGATCAACTTACGGTACATTGAAAAATTGGCATAGTTTGCTCCTGCTAACAGCTCTTGTAAGTTCTTGTCGAATACCAAGTTCAATTAATAGGAATATATCGGTTTAGTCCTTGTAAGAAAAAGCCTACTATAGCCAACTTGTTACATAGCCAAGTAGGCCTACATATTATTTTTACTTTACAATTTTCAACATGTTTAAATGAGCTTTTTAAATATAGTTTGGTTGTTTGTATGTCAATGTGTTTTAAACTTAATGAAATTTCCATATTTAAGATGCTTAAAAATAATGCAATATTTAAAAATAAGTACCAAATATGATATGGAACATCCACTATTTTGGTTGTGTTGTTGTAAGTTTGATTTATGATGCCAACAAATAAAATACAATCTAGGAATAAGTAGTTTTTCAAGTAATGTTAGATTCAATACCGACATTTTGTTGTTTGAGTGTTTGTTCATTAAAAATGTAGTTGCAATTACATTTACATAATTTGCGTGGAGTAAAAGTAACGTCTTTGGAAAAGCAGCTCAAATTGTAGCTATAGCTACATTTCATTGTAGCTGTAGTTGTAGCTACATTTAAAAAGTAGCTTCCCCAACACTGGAGTCTACCATCTTGTTTAGAGTCAAAAGAAGTATACCCCCTTACATGCCAAATTTCAATAAAAATTGTTCAGGCCAATTTTGTAAATTTTTTTGTTATTGTATGAGTTTTAATGGGAAAATCACCATTGAAACGTTCAGTCTGACATGTTAAAAAAATTCCTTTACAACAGACCAACGTCAACTATGGTTGACTGTTGACTTATGGATTTTTGACCGGCATCAACTTAGTTGAAAAGCTTGGTCTGATCTCACTGGACCGATGCAAACTATTGTTGACGTCAACATGTATACACTTTATGGCTTTGAATAGTCCCTAAATATGCCGTTGCTGTGGTTTTCTTGTGGGTGATTTTTCCTGTACCGGTACATATGGCATCATTATTTTTACACATAAATTTCTACAAGTCTCGAGGCGTTAGTTGGCCCAGTCCTCTTCAAGTGAGTTGGTGAGTGTTTATTATAACCTTTTATTGTGTTTTATATCACAAATAAAGATCGGCAGACTACTAATGGATAAAGACATTGATACATACAACGAAGTACAAAAGGGAAATTTGGCCTGCAAGTTGGGGCACTGACTTAATGTCTTGTGTCACCTATAGTTGACGATCTGTATCGAGCAAACGTGTAAGAAATCTAAATAAAAAAAAAACCATGGGTTAAGACCTACATACAAAATTTCATCAAAATAAAAACAATCTGTGTGGCTCTGTACACATCCACACATACAGACAGACGCACACATACACACACACACACACACACAGACAGCACTTCGAAAACAACTTCAACAAAAAAACAACTTTTTGGGTTCAGGGGGACCCAAAAACGAACATAATTGATTCACCCAAAACTCAAACTCAAAAATTTTGATGAAAAACAATACCCTCCTCATATAAGTTACTATGGTATGGCCAGAAAGTAATAAATGAGATACCTATATAGTACGTCTTTTTAAATAGTTGGGGAAGCTACTTTTAAAATGTACAACTACAACTAAATTACTGCTACATTTCCAAAAAAGTAGCTAGCTACAACTTCAGTTGACGTCTTTTCTACAAAATGTTGTTTGGATTTCTAGACACTCATATTTACTGGGCTCAGATTAACGAAAAATATATGTAAATATTTCTACAGTTTTGTCTGTGCATTGTGTATAGTCTTCAATCATGACATTATTGGTTAATTTTATGTTTCATAGCCTAAGAAAGCAGAAACTGGTCTTTTCTCAACTTCTGTCTGTCAGTGTAGGCTATGTGTATCTGACAGTAATATTTTTATATGCTACCTACTCCAGAAAATTAGAATCCCGCTCAAGACCATCAATCAGGAAGGAGGGACAAGCATTTAATTCTAAGTAAAACATTTGTCATTAGGCCTATGTCGGATAACCATAGATCAAACATGGCCGTTTTGATGGAAACACATTTCTTTTTAGACCTACCTGATAAACACACTGAAACCGTATTAATGTTCAATGATTTCATTCCTGCAATAACATTTTTCAACCCTTCAGACATTACAGTTGTGGGGCCTAAAACAAAACACAACAATCATAATCAGTAAATACAAGTTTTTTGGGGTTAATTAATGGGAAGAGTTAGGACATATTTTCTGTGTATTTAAGTTTAATGTGATGTTAAGATATAATATAGGTATTTAATATCTACCATAACAATAAGTTGTTATACTATAAATATGCTCAGGAAAGAGGTAATTATTTGTCAAAGCTAATAATAAATCAGCAAGTTATCCAGATATTTGTATAGGTAATGTTTCAAATATACCTATTGATGATGGTATTGTAAGTTTTGATGACATGATGAAAATTGCAACACTGACAGCTCTAGTGGATTTGGATTTTGTAGGCTTGCATATGATTTTTTATTGTTAACGCCTGTGACATTTTTAATCGGAATATTGTAGCCTACCGATTGTGCGGGGGGGGGGGGGGGGGCGCGAGCTAGGGGGGCCCGTGAGCCTTGACCGGGATTTTCGGTAAATTTTACTGGCACACGGGCCTGCGATAGTGTGACAGGCTCAACCACATGGGTCCCCTATCATAACAATATTTATATGAGAATTAAAATATGTTTTTTTATGATGAAAATGTGTTCAAAACCTATAGTTTAAGTAGTTTACAACAGCTAAACTAACACTATTACTTGACCGATCGATATAAATTATCTACCAGCCTAAGTAAAAGAATTGTCATCAGTCATGCGGGTTGCATTAACTGTCCTCGTGGATTGTGTGAAGGCGCAGTCAAAATTGGTTGCATAATAGATGAGTGAACGAAGTGAACGAATCTATGTATCGTGTAATAGCAGAGTCGGAGAAAAGTTGTCCGCTTGTGTATGAGTGTGTGAGTGTGTGTGTGTGTGTGTGTTCGCACCAAAAACTCAAGAACCATCGCACTTATAGCGTTCAAATTTTGCACAAATAATTATGACACCAGTGGGAAGACACCATTAAAATTCTAGACGATTCCGCCCAGTATTAATTATAGAATACTTAAAAAAACATTTTTAAATTTGTCCCATAAGAATAACATTAGGAGCTACCATCTTCTTCTTTTTATTTGTTTACGTTTTGCGACCAACAATTTTGTTGTCTACTTAAGACAGAGAGAACGACTTTTACTCTAAGCTCTTTCATTCATGGAGTAAACAGTTTGGCATCTATGAATATATATCATTATAATTTCACAGCTTTCAGAATAATAAATTGAACTTTATGTTCAGTATTAAAATTCACCTTTAAATTAAAAATAGATACGTATGTATTTAGAACAAAGCAGCTTTTTACATTATTCAATTTAATGTTGGCATTGAATATTAAATATTCAAAGATGTTGATATATCTTTATACTAAAATGCTATGTGTAGGGGGGGGGGGGGCAGGTCCACGACGTAGAGAGTAGTAAAGGAAGCGGAAAGGTAAGCAGTGAAAAGAAAGGAGTACGGAAACCCTTTATGACTGTTAAGTTAATGTATTTGTAATACTTAAATGCTATGGAAATATAGGGAAACAGGTCTACGATGTAGGAAGTAGTGAAGGAAGTAGTCAAGGCGAGCAGTCCGGAGTGTAGAAACCCTTTGTGACAGTTAGATTAGGGCCTCTTCACACTGGGCCACCATGGTGGCAACACCGGTGGCGACACTGGTGGTCGGTCAAAATGCGCATGGACCACCAGCTCAGCCACCAGTGCAGCTGCAGCCACAAAGCTCACAGTTGGACGTCGAAGAGGCAGGTGCTTAGCGTATATTTTTTTTTTTTATTGTGAAAACATAAGAAAAAAAACGTATTTTTGTTCATCCGTTTTTATGAGATGTAAGTACCAGAGAGACTTTTTTCATTCACTACCAAGACCTTAGAAATAACCCTGACACGTTTCACAATTACTACTTACTCAAGAATGAGTGTTTTAAGTTTTGATAAGCTTCTGGGACGTCTGAAAGAAAAAATATCTCCAGAAGAGAAACTGCTACTATTGTTGTGGAAAATTTAAAAAAAAAACATAGTTAATATACCATTTATTAATAACACTATAATACCTTGACTCAATGTATACATTGCAATGATGAAAAGATGTAAAAGAAATAGAGTACCTATACATTTTGTTATATCAGTAAAATCGTTTCCCCATATTTATTACCTTAACAACTTCAAAAGATTAGTAAACTAGTGTACTGAGTTATGCCCGCTGGTAGTGACTGGTGGCGCTGCCAGTCGCTCCAATGTGAACAGTCCGATAAGAAACCATGGTACGACGTGGTGGCGCCACCAGACTGGTGTCTCTGAAAATCGCAACCCCGAGCCACCGCATTTCTGGTCGCGCGGCCAGACGCGCCACCAAAGCTCAGTGTGAAGATGTCCCTTTTAAATCAATGCTAATGTAACGTAGCCACCGGAAGCTCAGTGTGAAGATGTCCCTTTTAAATCAATGCTAATGTAACGTAGCCACCGGTGTCACCACCATGGTGGCCCAGTGTGAAGGGGACCTTAATGTACCTGCAATACTAAAATGCTATATGAAGGGAGGGAAACAGGTCCACGACGTAGGAAGTGGTAATGGAAGTAGTCGAGGCGAGCATTCTGGAGTGTAGAAACCCTTTGTGACAGTTAGATTAATGTAACTGCAATTCTAAAATGCTATGGGAAGGGAGGGAAACAGGTCCTTGACGTAGGAAGTGGTGAAGGATGCAGTCAAGGCGAGCAGTTCGGAGTGTGGGAACCCTTTGTGAAAGTGCAATTAATCTATTTGAAATTCTAAAATGCTATGGGAAGGGAGGGAAACATCTCCACGACGTAGGAAGTGATAAAGGAAGTAGTCAAGGTGAGAAGTGCGGAGTGTGGGAACCATTTGGTGACAGTTAGATTTATGTATCTGTAATGAAACAGTTGCAATACTAAAATGCTATAGAAAGGGTGGGAAACAGGTCCATGACGTAGTAAGTGTTGAAGGAAGTAGTCAAGGCGAGCAGTGCGGAGTGTGGGAACCGTTGGTGGCAGTTAGATAAATGCATCTGCAATACCAAAAGGCTATGGGAAGGGAGGAAAACAGGTCCACGTCGTAGGAAGTGGGGAAGGATTTGGTAAATGCGAGAAGTTCTGAGTGTGAAAACAGTTTGTGGTAGTTAGATTAATGTACATTCAATACTAAAATGCTGGGGGAAGGGAGGGAAACAGGTCCACAACGTTGGTAGTGGCGATGGAAGTGGTAAATTCAAGCAGTGCGGAGTGTGGGAACCGTTTATGGCATTTAGATTCATTAGTTAGATGAACATTTATTGGATTTTTAATAATTTTTAGATTATATAATAACGCTATCGTTGTTATAAATCATCATTGTAAGCAATACGATATTTTTTTGGAGATTCCTTACACTGTGCTTTGGCAATTTATTTAAGTTAGATTAGTTCAGTTTGGCTTAGTTTTTTTATGATAGGCCTCATAACAAATATAGTAATACTGTAGGCTTCATTTAATCAAAAGACGTTTTGTACAGGAACGACGGATTTACCTCCTATTGATAACTGTTGGAAATCCATTACGTATATTACCAATGACTTTGGTTAATTAATGGACGAGAAGTTAGGATTGTTGTTGACTGAGATTGGGTGTTTTGCAAATACAACACACAAATAACATTATTATGTTCACTAGTGACACCGGTAAGTAGGCTAGGTGTGGGTGGACTCTTTCATTACTGCGCTCATGTTCACTCATCCCGTTACGCGCAGAATAAGCGTACTACTAGTAATAGGGCCGTATTTATAACCAATGTGGCCTCTGGCCTGGGAAGATAAAACATTAATGTTAATCCTTCTAGCCCACAGCAGGTGACACCATAGAGGATTATGCTGATTCGACAAAATAAACTTTGTTACGACCAAATCGGCAAATTAACCTAGGTGGCTAGGGCACTAACTAATAAATAATTCCATTCTTTCATTGATGCTTAAGAAGGATTTTCATTTAATTTCATGTCTTACTATTAGGAGGCTGCCCTTTAGACTTATTTACTTCGTACTAGATGTGTTTACATCGAGTCAGGTCAAAAATGTTACTTACCTAAGGGCCTCAGGCCAAATCAGATCGGTTCAAAATCGGGTTTGTTTGGGAAGGGTTGATTTTTATAATAGGCCTATATTGTCGATTTTCGAGCCGAGCAGAGCCTGGACTACAAGTTTGAGAGATTAAGCACAAAGTCAGAAAATGAAGCTTAAGCCGATTTTCTCAGTATTCAGTACAATAATGCACAATTAAAAGTAAAAGCTTTTATATCCCTCACGGATATAAAAGCTTTTACTTTTAATTGTGCATTATTGTACTGAATACTGAGAAAATCAGCTCGAGCTTGATCACACTCACGAAATTGAAAGATAATGCCTACGCTTTTGCCGCGATCGTGGATATCGACGAGAACATTTCCCCGCGGGTGACGATGACGATGTCTCCGCGGCCGCAGATGTTCAATATTTTGCCGCGATTGCGGAAGACGATAATGACGTTTCTTTTTTAGCGAGAAATGTAATCTAGGATTTAGCCGCAATTACGGAAAAATGATTTACCTGTCACCACCGACGGGTCGCGGGGAGATATTAGGCCGTGATATTAGATTGGGCCGTGAACGCGGGAGACGATGATGCTGCTATCTAATGATGTCATAGGTTTGGTTGCATTTGCAATCACGGTAAACTATGATAATCATTCTTCCATGACTTATGACTATGGGAAGTATTTACGATTTTGCCGTGATCGTGGAAGACGATAATGACGCCTCGGGAGATGCCTTGTCAAGTTTATTGCAAACTTGCAAGTTTAGGCGGTAATACATGGGGAAATGTTTTTAAAGATCATTGGGGGAGGGGGGCTGAACAAACTTGCGGGGGGGCCCGCGGAAATCCATTTAATGCTTTTTATATTTTGATAACTAATTGGTCTCAGTAAACTGAGAAGAGGGTGTTGAACACATCACATTTTTTATTAAAAAAGCTTAATTATAATTTTCAATAGTTTATTACGTTA